GTCCTGTACGAAATTATTTGCCAACGGGTTGAAATGATTAAAAATGGCCAAAAATCAGGAGTTATATAGCTCACGAAATCATGATTTTCGGACTCAATTTGCCAAAGAATTGTAACAATTGGCCTCAAATAACGTATTTACCATAGAATTGAAACAACTAAAAACAGTAAACATTGTGCGTTATAGCTCACGATATAATGAACTTTGACCATAAAATGGCCAAAAATAGCATGTTAACCTTATGAATCGTGAATTTTGACTTTCATGAAAGTATTTGCCAACGGGTTCAAAACAACTAAAATGGCTAAAAATAAAGGGTTATCGCTCATGAAATCGTGAATTTTAGCCTCCACAAAATTATTTGTCAATGGTTGAAAATAACTAAAAGTGGACAAATTTTGTAGATAACAGCTTACGATCATAAATTTCGGCCTCCACAAAATTATTTTCAATGGGTTGAAATGATTAAAAATAGGCAAAAATCGTGGATATAGTTCATAAAAAATTATTTGCCCAAGATTTGAAACAATTAAAAATGGTAAACTTGTGGGATACAGCTTATGTAATCGTGATTTTTGCCTTCCACGAAAGTTTTTGCCAAAGAAGTGAAACAATTAAATATGGTCAAAAATTATAAAATATACCTCACAAAATCGTGATTTTTGGTCTTAGCGAAATTATTTGTTATGAAACTAAAACAACTAAAAATGGCCAAAAATCATGAGATGCTATGAAATCGTGAACTTTGGCTTCGCGATTTATTGAGCAATGGGTCAAAACGACTAAGAATGACAAAAAGTCATGGATTATAGCTCATGATGAATTTTGGCATCCATGAAATTATTTGAGAACAAGTCAAAATGACTAAGAATGGCTAAAAGTTGTGGGTTATAGCTCATAAAATCATGAATTTGTCTCTATAAAATTATTTGCGAGCGAGTAGAAACAATTAAAAACGATCAAAATTCGTGGGTCATGGCCTTATAGCTCATGAATTTGTAAATTTTGGTCTCCCAAAAATTATGTACCAGTAAGTTGAAACTACTAAATATAGCCAAAAATTATGGGTTATAGCTCACACAATCGTGATTTTTGGCCTCAGCAAAATTATTGCCAGCGAATCGAAATGACTGAAAATAGTCAAAAATCATGAGTCATAGCTCTTGAAATATTAAATTTTGGATTCCGTAAAATTATTTGCCAAAGAATTAAAATAATTAAAAATGGCTAAAAATCATGGGTTATAGCTCATGAAATCGTGATTTTTGACACCTGTGAAATTATTTGCCAAAAATTAAAAGGTTGCTCATGAAATTGTGAGTTGTATATTTGCCAACAGGTTGAAGTGACTAAAAGTGCCTAAAAATCATGGGTTATATCTCAAGATATCGTGAATTTTAGCCCCCATGAAATTATTTGCCAAGGAGTTGAAATGCTAAAAAAATAGCCCAAAATCATAGATTATAGCTCATGAAATCGTAAATTTTAGCCTTTGTGAAACTATTTGTCAATGAATTGAAACAACTAAATACAGCAAAAAATCAAGGTTTATAGCTCATAGAGCTATGATTTTTTACCTCCATGAAATTATTTGCTAAACAATGAAACAACTAAAAAAAGCCAAAAATCAGGGGTTATTGCTCATGAAATCATGAATTTTGACTTTCACAAAATTATTTGTCAATATATTTAAATGATTAAAATGGCCAAAATTTTCAAATTATAGCTCTTGAAATCATAAATTTTGGCTTCCATGAAATTATTTGCTAACGGGTCGAAATGACTAATAATTGCCAAATATCGTGGGTTTTATAGCTCACGAAATTATTATTCTTTGCCAAAATCGTGGGTTTTATAGCTTATGAAATCATTATTTTTTACTTAAAAAATTATTTGCCAAATTATTTGCCAAAGAATTGAAATGACTAAAATTGCCAAAATTATGGGTTATAGCTCACAAAATTGTGAATTTTAACTGCTAAGAAATCATTTGCATTCCAGTGAAAAATGACGAAAAATGGACAAAAATCAAAGATTATAGTTCATGAAAGAACAATTTTTCAAAACAGCCTCATTTAGATTTTTATTTTTCAAAATCGACTGTTTTTTATTTTATTTATCAAAACCGACCCGATTTTGTGATTAACAGTCTAATTACTATCCTAAATAGTCGGGGTTGCCAACCCCGACTATTTAGGACATTAATTTTTAGGGTTTAAGGCCTTTAATTAGGGTTTAACACTATCCTAAATAGTCGGGGTTGGCAACCCCGACTATTTAGGATAGTAATTAGCCTGCTAATCACAAAATCGGGTCGGTTTTGATAAATAAAAGAAAAATCGGTCGATTTTGAAAAATAAAAAACTAAATGGGCCTGTTTTGAAAAATTGTTCTTCATGAAATCGTGAATTTTGATCTTCACAAATTGTCAATGGGTGGAAATTACTAAAAAAATAGCCAAAACGCGTATCTTATAAGTAATGAAACCATGAATTTTGGAAGTATTTGCTAACGGATTAAAATGACTAAAAATGGCCAAAAATCATAGGTAATAGCTCAAGAAATCATGAATCTTGGCCCCGTGAAATAATTTGCCAAAGGATCAAAATGGCCAAAAATTATAGATTATAGTTTATGATCGTGAATTTTCGCCTCCACAAAATTATTTGTTAACGGATTGAAATAACTAAAAGTAGCAAAAATTTATGGGTTATAGCTCACAAAATTTTAATTTTTTTAGCATAGATGAAATTATTTGCAAAAGAATTGAAACTAAAAATGGCAAAAAAAATTGTATGACATGGTTCACGTAATCGTGATTTTTAGCATACGAGAAAAATTTTAGCCTTCATGAAATTATTTCCCGATGGGTCAAAACAATTAAAAATGAGGAAACATCATAAGTTCTAGCTCACGAAATTGTTGGTTTTGGCTACTGTGAAATTATTAGAAGCACGTGGAAACGACTAAAAATGGTAAAATTTTGTGAGTAATAGTTCATGAAATTATGAATTTTGGACTCTGTGAAATTATTTGCCAACGGATCAAAATGACTAAAAGTAGCCAAAGGTCGTAAATTCTAGCTTAAGAAATTGTGAATTTTGACATTCGTGAAATTATTTGCTAATGGATCAAAGCATCTTAAAATGACTAAAAATCATGGGTTATACCTCACAAAATCTTGATTTTTGGTCTCCACAAAATTATTTGCTAAAGAATTGTAGCAAACTAAAAATATCTTAAAATTGTGGGTTATAGTTCACAAAATGTGAATTTTAGCTTCTGCAAAATTATTTACCGGCTATTCAAAACGACTAAGTTTGGCCAAAGTCATGGGTTATACCTCATGAAATAGTAATTTTGGCCTACGCGAAAGTATTTGCCAACGGGTCAAAATAACAAAAAGGAAAAAATTTATTGATCATAGTTCATAAAATCGTGAATTTTGGTCTCCACGGTATCATTTGTCTGCGAGTTAATTGACTAAATATGGCAAAAGATCGTGGATTTTTAGCCTCTATGAAATTATTTTCTAAAGAATTGAAACAACTAAAAATAGCCAAAAATCGTGAGTTATAGTTCACGAAATTGTGAACTTTGACTTCCATGAAATTATAGCTCCTGAAATTCTAAATTTTAGCATGCATGAAATTACTTACCGACGAGTCAAATGACTAAAAAAAGACCAAAAGTCGTGGGTTATAGCTCACAAAATCATGATTTTTGGGCTCTACGAAAACTATATACCAAAGAATTGAAATAACTAAAAATAGCTAAAATTGTGGGTTATAACTCATAAAATTGTGAACTTTAACCTTAGAGAAATTATTTAAAAATAGTGGAAATGACTGAAAATGGCCAAAAATCATGGGTTATAGCTCATGAAATCATAAATTTTGGCATTCAAAAAATTATTTACTAAATGTTCGAAATGACTAAAAATAGCTAAGAATCATGGGCTATGAGCTCGCAAAATCGTGAATTTTAGCTTCCACGAAATTATTTATAAATAGTTCAAAATGACTAAAAAAGGAAAAAATCAATTACCATCAAAACAAACATCATTAACTTGCGAAATTTCTCATCTTTTTTCATCAAAGCAAACACAGAAAGCCAAAAACACCCACAATTCCTCAAAACTAAAATCCATCAAAAACCTAACAAAAGGCATCATCTTCATAGCTCAAAAAATCTTGATTTTTTGCCTCTGTGAAATTATTTGCCAAAAAATTGAACGAAGTAAAATTGGCGTAAAATCATGAGTTGTTCACAAAATTATGAATTTTGATGTACACAAAATTATTTGTCAATGGGTCAAAATGAAGAAAAATATTAAAAAAATCACGGGTTATAGCTCATAAAATCATGAATTTTGACATTCACAAAATGATTCATGAAATCATGAATTTTGACCTCCATGAAAGTATTTGCCAACAGATAGAAATGACAAATAATGGCCAAAAATCGTATGGTATAGCTCATGAAATCGTAAATTTTAGCATCCATAAAATTATTTGCTAACAAGTCAAAAAAAAGAGTAATTATGGTAAAAAATTATTGGTTATAACTCACGAATGGTGATTTTTGGTATCTGTGAAATTATTTGCCACAGAATTAAAATAACTAAAAATGACAAAAAATCATGTGTTATAGGAAAAGAAATCATGATTTTTGGCATGCAAAAAATTATTTGCTAAAGAACCGAAACAACTAAATATGGTCCAAAATCAAAGGTTAGAGCCATAACATCGTGAATTTTGGCATCCGCGCAATTATTTGTCAATGGGTTGAAACAACAAAAAGGCCAAAATTGTAGATTATAGCTCATGAAATCGTGAGTTTTGGCCCCACAGAATTGTTTATCAACAATCAGATCGACTAAATATGGGTAAATTTCATGGATTATATCTCACGAAATCGTGATTATTAGCCTCTGCAAAATTATTTGCTAAAGAATTAAAACAACTAAAAATGGTTAAAAATCATGGGTTATAACTCACAAAATCATGAACATGGCCGGAGCCGAAGACCGTGATCTCCTCCGGTCTCCGGCGGACCTCGACGGCGCCATTGGGGGGTTGGAATTGGTGGTTATGGGCTTTGGTCCTTTGGAGTTGCGCTGATGCCCATGACTGCAGATTCCTGCCTAGGTTCCAGCCTCCTACACCTACAACGACATGATTCCCTCCTAACGTCATTTAAACAAAATTTGCAATTGTGGCAATACCTTTAAACTGTGCCCAAAAATTTATTCGACTTTTTGCTGCCCCTCTAA